CTCATCTTGAACTAATTTTGCATGTCAGATGTTGGCAAAGATAAATTAGACTTGGATTCTACCCTCAAGAAGCTATAGTCAATGCAGAAGATGAGACAGTTACATGAATAACTATAATACAAGTAGAACGTGAGAAAGTTGCCTGGGCATGGTGGCTCATACCTGTTATCCCAATGTTTTGGGAGCCAAGGAGGAAGGATCATTTGAGGCCAGGAGTTTGAGATCAGCTTGGGCAACATAGTGAGACCCTGTCTCTATAAAAATTTAAAAATTAGCCAGTCATGGTAGCATGCACATATGTGGAAGGCTGAGGTAGAAGAATTATTCAAGCCTAGGAGTTTGAGGCTACAGTGAGCTATGATCATGCCACTATGCTCCAGCCTGGGCGACAGACAAGTCCCTGTCAAAAAAAAGAAAGAAAAGCAGCATTTCTTCCACAGGGAAGAATTGGGGAAAACTGTAAAATAAGCCACATTTGAGCTGGTTTGAAGCCAAAGATTATCCCTGTAATCAACATCTAATTTTGTATCAAATTCCATCATGAAAGTGTCTTTGGAAATATTTGCTTTGGTCCTTGGCCTTGCCCTTTCAGAGTTCCCTCCATGTTTTAAAGCAGTGAGCTCCTCTGAGGCTGGGCCTTCACTAAGCCTCTCTCAGGCTGGTTTCCCTGGCAGGGAGGGTGGAAATGCAGGAGTGGCAACTCCAGGAGGGGCAACTTCAGGCTGTGCAGAGTTTAGTTTTGGTGGCCGGGCCATGATCAGTCCCACCTGCTCTGATGCTCAGTGGGAACAAGGCCATTGTTGGTGGAGCATAGCTCTGCATCTCATGGGATATGCGATATAGATATTTTGGGCCTCAAATATGAGGCCCAAGAAACTGAAGGTTTTATATTTAGTTGATATCTTAAAATTGTGGAAGTTGCATTTTAGCCTTTGGGACAGCCAGAAATGTCTTCTTTATAGAAAATGGTTCTTGGCAGCATATTTTTTTCCAGAATTACCAACAAACAAGGAAAAAAATCCCCAACTTTGCAATAGAATTAATTGGGACTTAATGAGGCAAGTAGTCAAGAGATGGTGTTATGAGTATGCAACACGAAGTGACCTGTTTTAAGGCTAGAAGCTGCCACCCATCGAAGTGGTTTAAATCAGGATTTTGGCAGAAGCACATTATTGTGACAGTTAAAAAATGTGAGTGAAATTCGGTCTCCTCTACATACCCTATTTAGGAATGTAGTCATTAAGCCCCTACACTGTGACTCAGCTCAGAAGTCACAAGAAGGAATGATCTAACTCTCTAAGAGATATGGAAGTTTTCTTCCAGTTTGTTAACCCACAGCAAATTGGCTGAATCATGGGAGAGGAGCCAAACTTGATCATGTTTGCATTTTATCTCCCTCTTTACTGTAAAAGATTTTGACTTGAAAGAAACTTAGTATTGCATTTTCCAAGAAAAGAAAATCAGCAGCATTGATGTAAGTATGGTCCTGCAGTACCAGAGCCAGAAGTGTGTATTGTAATCTTATCTGTAGGGGGGAAATGGAATTTCATGAGTGATTATGTTGAAACATGCTTGCAGACTTAAGTACTTAATATGACTTATATGTGCTTAAGGGAAAACATGAATTGTAAGAGAGGAAAAGTTCTGACTTCAGTTCTCCGATCTGCCACTAATGATTTAGCATAAAGCCTTGGACCAATTTTTGTGCCTCAGATTTTCCATGGATGAAAATGGTACCACGAATGTATCATAGACCTTGTAATCATTTTTAAGTTATTTTTAAATTTAAAACCTCTGAGAACATTTGGCTTTAAAGAATATTAGAGCTTTTAAAAAGGCATAAGGCAATTGGAGCATTCCAAGACATTGGCAAATGCTACTGAAGGGGGTTTTGAGACACAAAGAGCCTTAATCTCCCTTTAAAGCTTGTTTCATCTTTCAACAAATTATTCTTATAGTTTAAATATTTTTTCTTGCTTTAATTTTTCTCTGGTTCCTCTAACTCTGTCCATTCTCTCTAACAATGCTAATGTCTCTAACAAGGGAAGACAATGTCACCTTACTCCTTGCAACATAAGAATTCTTGTATTATTAAGACTTCTTAATTTTCTTGAAGACGCAAAGGATCAATGAACCAACTAGTATTTATTGAGTACTTACTGTGTTCTAATTTGATGTTTGGGAAAGGGATATGACAGCTGATGGATTTCCAGGCAGTACAAAAGGCTTATTGCATTCTTATTGAAAAGCTTACTGAATCTCCAGATTCCAGTCATTCAAAGGTAGATTCCTTTCTGTACCTCCTTGGGTGTGCCTCACTATGCTTGATTATTTCCAGTGAGAGGTCCCAAGCTATCTCCTGACAAGCTGCTCCTTCAGTTTTTGCCATCACATAGTTGCCAGACAAGACAGATTTTCATGTAATACAGGAATGAGTCAAATACTTTAAGTGCTGAATCAACTGAAAAAGACAATTTCTGCATGAGATCAACGAATGAATCACTGTTGGCTGTTGTGGTCAGGAAAAGATGATGACCTAGGGTTAAATAACCAATATCTTTCAGTTTTTCTCAAGGTACAATACATATGTGCATCTTTATTATTATTAATGTCATTTGCAAATCCTAATAATAGTTAACATTTATCTTATTCTTCTTAATGACTTAAAAATTTTTAACTGACAAAAATTGTATATATTTATGAAGTATAACGTGATGTTTTCATATATGTATACACTGTGGAAAGATTAAATCAAGTTAATTAACGTTCATCACCTTACATACTTATATTTTTTTATGGTGAGAACATTTAAAATCCATTAGCAAATTTCAAGTGTATAATACATTGTTATTAACTATAGTCATCATATACAATAAATCTCTTGAACTTTCTCCTTCTAACTGAAAAAAAAAATTGAATGACACATATATGTGTCATCCTTGTTCAGGGGCCACACTAATCTCTGTATTTTTCCAATTTTAGTATTTGTGCTGCCAAAGTAAGCACTAGTTAACTTTTACGTGATGCTAACTGTGTGTCGAGCACTAGCCAGTGTGTATACTGCCTCTCAACTGACACTGTGTATAAAATCTTACAGATAGCTAGAGAATCTATTTTGTGCTAAGAGCCACATCATTTATGTGTGTGTGTGTGTGTGTGTGTGTGTGTGTGTGTGTGTGTGTGTGTAATTTTATAATCTACACAACCACTCTTTGGTACGGGTATTATTATCACCATTTTGCCCAAGGAGACACTGGGGCTCTGAGAAGTTCAATAACCCACAGTAGCAGAGCCAGGCTTCTCACCCCACTCTGTGTGATGCCACAGCCCTGGCTTTGTCTGTTAGGCTACACTGCCTCACCTGGAAATCTTCCCTATTCTATTAACTTGCTAAAGAAATTCAGCTAGCTAACTAGTTCTTTCCAAAGGGCTAGTTCTTTCCTTAGGGCTAAAACAAGAGAAAATTGGCATAAGCACTGGGAGAGGCAGACCCACTGGTGGTTTTACCTCTAAAGTCATTCTGAGGCTCATGCACTGGCCCTTCTCTCAGTCCTGAGAGGAAAATGACATGTAGTCCAATGGACATCCATTTTTATATATAAATAAGGGGTACCTTTAGTAACCCTCTAGGGTTACTAATATCTAGTACCTACAACTAAAATTAATGGTAAACTATCATTTACTGAGGTCTCTAACTTTGTATTCATAGAAGCACTGCTTCATAATGAGGCAGAATCCTTAGTGTGATTCAGCACATGTAGATAATTATTATAATTCTCACATTTTAGGGGAGCAAATGTCATCCCTCCCACCATCCCTCCCTCCCTCCCTCCCTCTCTTCCTTCCTTCCTCCCTCCCTCCCTCCCTCCCTCCCTCCCTTCCTTCCTTGTCTGTCATGGTTTTTAATTTCTACTCTTCTTGCTTTGTATTTTTACAACTATATTTAGGTTTACATTTGTGGATCATCTTGTTCTTGTATAACTGCTGAGTTGTAAACTTTGTCATGTTATTTCCTCATGGATTCTTATCACTGAGGTTTTTTTTAACTGAAAAGTAGGAATGAAAATTCAGAAGTACTGATATTAAGGGAATGATTTCCAATGATTTCCAGGCCTTTTTCTAGCCCTAGATATTTCAGGTGAACATTTCAGCATTTCAAAACAATGCTAGAGAGTACATATTATTTTCCTTAAGTTAAAAAAGAGGAGCCAGGCGCGGCGGCTTATGCCTGCAATCCTAGCACTTTGGGAAGCCGAGGCAGGTGGATCACTTGAGATCTGGAGTTTGAGACCAGATTGGCCAACATGGTGAAACCCTATCTCTACTAAAAACACGCACACACAAAAAAATTAGCTGGGCATGGTGGTACATGACTGTAGTCCCAGTAGACACAAGAGGCACAAGAATCACTTGAACCTGGCAGGCAGAGGTTGCAGTGAGCCGAGATCGTGTCATTGCACTCCAGCCTGGGTGACAGAGCAAGACTGTCTCAAAACAACAACAAAAACAAAAACAAGACTGAGGCTTAGAAAGTTAGTAGCTTGCTAAGATTTAAGAGGTAGTAAGTAAGTGGTAGAAATGAAATTAAAACTCAGATCTGTCCGATTCCAAAGAATCCATTCTTCCCATTACATTCCACTGTCAATCCTGGAGTGTCTGCCATCTAATCTTACCCTCAGATTTCTTTTTTTCCACTTATGTGGCTAAATGTAATTAATAATTACTGACCATATAAGTGAAATTTCATTAGACCTAACTTCAAGAAAACTATATTTTGTTAGCAGGCAACTGAATATTACTAAGCTGTTAATCTGCTTTACGGATGTCTTTATTTGCTATAGATTTCGGATGTAATGTGTGTTTTTAAAAATTTTTTTGGTATCAAGATGTAACATCTGTGTTTCAGGGACTGAAATGTGTACATTTAATAAGCTGCTATAAGTAAGATAGTTCTAGATGACTAAAGAAAAGAAAAAACTTGACCTTGGAATTTTTTGCAGGCATTCTGCAAAAGCTCACTGATGTTGGAACGTTTGGATGTCTCTTATTGCTCCCAGCTGTCAGATATGATTATCAAAGCATTGGCCATTTACTGCATTAACCTCACGTCTCTCAGCATTGCTGGCTGTCCAAAGGTATGTGCAGGAGTCAGGGCTCAGACACATCAAATTTAAGCACAGACAAGGGACAAGGCAGGACAGCTATCAGGGCTGGACTCAGAATGTGTTTTCTCTGCCATGGTTGAGGTATTCATTGGAATTTTTTTTCTATCCTCCAATTGGAAATAGCTTATGATTCCATTGGTGTCAAAGTAGAATTTTCCAAAAGTCAAAAACATAATTCTCATACAAATATAAACACGTTTCAAATATTTATTTAATTCATTAATGAGAGAACCAACAAAATGACAAAGCCAGTGTGAAGAGCATTTGAATGAACTTAGTATTTGTAGGAACTGATGAAAGAATGTTGGAGTGACAGTGTTAGGTTAGGCCTAAAACTGTCCTACAAGTCATTAAATCCATAACCTTGGGGTTATAGTTTCTACCAGATGCAAATAATTTGCATCTTTCCCGGACAAAAATATAACAATTAACATATAACTTCATGGAGTTGGGGCCTTAGTCAACAGTAAACAGTATGTCAAACAAAGGCATGATTTCCTCCAGAACTTTCCAGGTAGGCCTGTTAAACAGTGTTCCAGTTTGACACTTCAAGGACATAACACCATCTTTTGTCTTATTTTCAAGTGTTTTACAATTTTTCTTGACCTCTGTATATAAATGAAATAAGTACTATTGTCAAAAATTTGGACTTCATATAAAAGCTTAAAGGATGTTAAACAAATATGCATGAAATGCATCACTCTATATCAAAGGCTTAGAAGGAGAAGGAGGTAGGATGAATCAATTTATTTTATTTTATTGCACTTTAGGTTCTGGGGTACATGTGAAGAACATGCAGGATTGTTGCATAGGTACATACGTGGCAATGAGGTTTGCTGCCTCCATCCTCATCACCTGTATCTGGCATTTCTCCCCAGGTTATCCCTCCCAACTCCCTACCCCCTGCTATCCCTCCCTTAGTCCCCCACAACAGACCCCAATGTGTGATGTTACCCTCCCTGTGTCCATGTGTTCTCATTATTCAACACCCACGTATGAGTGAGAACATGTGTTGTTTGTTTTTCTGTTCTTGTGTCAGTTTGCTAAGAATGATAGTTTCCAGGTTCATCCATGTCCCTACAAAGGACATGAACTCATCGTTTTTTTATGGCTACATAGTATTTTATGGTGTATATGTGCCACATTTTCCTTGTCCAGTCTATCATTGATGGGCATTTGGGTTGGTTCCAGGTCTTTGCTGTTGTAAACAGTGACACAATGAACATACGTGTGCATGTGTCTTTATAATACAACAATTTATAATCCTTTGGATATATACCCAGTAATGGGATTGCTGGGTCAAATGGAATTTCTATTTCTAGGACCTTGAGGAATTGCCACACTGTCTTTCACAATGATTGAATTAATTTATACTCCCATCAACAATGTAAAAGTGTTTCTATTTCTCCACATCCTCTCCAGCATCTGTTGTCTCCAGATTTTTTAATGATCGCCATTCTAAATGGTGTGAGATGGTATCTCAGTGTGGTTTTGATTTGCATTTCTCTGATGACCAGTGAAGATGAGCATTTTTTCATGTTTGCTGCCCTCATATATGTCTTCTTTTGTAAAGTGTCTGTTCATTTCCTTGACCCACTTTTGAATGTTTTTTTTTTCTTGTAAATAAGTTTTAGTTCTTTGTAGATTATGGATATAAGTCCTTAGATAGGCAGATTGCAAATATTTTTTCCCATTTTGTTGCTTGCTGGTTCACTCTATTGCGTATTTCTTTTGCTGTGCAGAAGCTCTGGAATTTAATTAGATCCCATTTGTCTATTTTGGCTTTTGTTGCCATTGCTTTTTGTGTTTTAGTCATGAAGTCCTTGCCTATGCCTATGTCCTGAATGGTTTTGCCTAGGTTTTCTTCTAGGGTTTTTATGGAGTTAGGTCTTATGTTTAAGTCTTTAATCCATCTGGAGTTAATGTTAGTGTAACGTGTCAGGAAGGGGTCCAGTTTCTGCTTTCTGCACATGGCTAGCCAGTTTTCCCAACACTATTTATTAAACAGGGAATCCTTTCCCCATTGCTTTTGTCAGGTTTGTCAAAGATTGGATGGTTATAGATGGGTGGTATTGCCTCTGAGGCATCTGTTGTGTTCCATTGCTCTGTGTCTCTGTTTTGGTATCAGTACCATGCTGTTTTGATTACTGTAGCCTTGTATTATAGTTTGAAGTCAGGTAACATGATGCCTCCAGCTTTGTTCTTTTTGCTTAGAATTGACTTGCCTATGTGGGCTCTCTGTTGGTTCTATATGAAGTTTAAGGTGGTTTTTTTACAGTTCTGTGAAGAAGGTCATAGGTAGCTTGATGGGGATAGTGTTAAATCTATAAATTTCTTTGGGCAGTATGGCCATTTTCAGAATATTGATTCTTCCTTACCATGAGCATGGAATGTTTTTCCATCTGTTTGTGTCCTCTCTTATTTCATTGAGCAGTGGTTTGTAGTTTTCTTGAAGAGGTCCTTTACATCCTTTGTTAGTTGTATTCCTAGGTATTTTATTCTCTTTGCAGCAATTGTGAATGGCAGTTCATTCTTGATTTGGCTCTCTTTAAGTCTGTTACTGATGTATAGGAATGCTTATGATTTATGCACATTTATTTTGTATGCTGAGATTTTGTTGAAGTTGCTTATCAGCCTAAGAAGATTTTGGGCTGAGACAATGGGGTCTTCTAAATATACAATCATGTCACCTGCAAATAGAGACAATTTGACTTCTTCCTCTCCTAATTGAATACCCTTTATTTCTTTTTCTTACCTGATTGTTCTGGCTAGAACTTCCAATAGTATATTGAATAGGAGTGGTGAGAGGGGGCATCTTTGTCTAGTGCCAGATTTCAAAGGGAATGCTTCCAGTTTTTGCCCATTCAGTATGATATTGGCTGTAGGTTTGTCATACTAGCTTTTATTATTTTGAGATACGTTCTGTCGATACCTAGTTTATTGAGAGTTTTTAGCATAAAGGGCTGTTGAATTTTGTTGAAGGCCTTCTCTGCATCTATTGAGATAATCATGTGGTTTTTGTCTTTGGTTCTGTTTATGTGGTGAATTACGTTTATAGACTTGCATATGTTGAACCAGCCTTGCAACCCTGGGATGAAGCGTACTTGATCATGATGGATAAGCTTTTTGATGTGCTGTTGCAATTGTTTTGCCAGTATTTTTTTGAAGATTTTTGCATCTATGTTCATCATGGATATTTGGCCTGAAGTTTTCTTTTCTTGTTGAGTCTTTGCCTAGTTTTGGTATCAGGATGATGTTGGTCTCATAAAATGATTGGTGAAGGATTCCCTCTTTCTGGATTGTTTGGAATAGTTTCAGAAGGAATGGTACCAGCTCCTCTTTGTATGACTGGTAGAATTCGGCTGTGAGCCCATCTGGACTTGGGCTTTTTTTTGATTGGTAGGCTCTTAATAGCTGCCTCAACTTCAGCCCTTGTTGTTGGTCTATTCAGGGTTTTGACTTCTTCCTGGTTTAGGCTTGGGAGGGTGCAAGTGTTTAGGAATTTATTGATTTCTTCCAGGTTTACTGATTTATGTGCATAGAGTTGTTTGTAGTAATTTCTGATGGTAGTTTGTATTTCTGTGGAATCAGTGGTGATATCCCCTTTATCGATTTTTATTGCATCTATTTGATTCTTCTCTCTTTTCTTTTTTATTAATCTGGCTAGTGGTCTATTTTATTGATCTTTTCCAAAAACCAGTTCCTGGTTTTATTAATTTTTTGATGGGTTTTTTGTGTCTCTATCTCCTTCAGTTCTGCTGTGATTTTAGTTACTTCTTATCTTCTGCTAGCTTTTGAGTTTTTTTGATCTTCCTCCTGTAGCTCTTTCAATTTTGATGATAGGGTGTCAATTTTAGATCTTTCATTGCTTCTCATGTGGGCCTTAATTGCTATAAATTTTCTACTAGATACTGCTTTAAAAGTGTCCCAGAGATTCTGGTATGTTGTGTCTTTGTTCTTGTTGGTTTCTAAGAACATCTTTATTTCTGCCTTCATTTCATTGTTTATCCAGTCAACATTCAAGAGCCAGTTGTTCAGTTTCCATTAAGTTGTACGGTCCTGAGTTAGTTTCTTAATCCTGAGTTCTAATTTGATTGCACTGTGGTCTGAGAAACTGTTTGTTATGATTTCCATTCTTTTGCATTTGCTGAGGAGTGATTTACTTCCAATTATGTGGTCAATTTTAGAGTAGGTGTGATGTGGTGCTGAGAAGAATGTATATTCTGTGGATTTGTGGTGGAGAGTTCTGTAAATGTCTATTAGGTTTGCTTGGTCCAGATCTGAGTTCAAGTCCTGAATATGCTTGTTAATTTTCTGTCTCATTGATCTGTCTAATATTGACAGCGGAGTGTTAAAGTCTCCCACTAAGTCTAAGTCTCTTTGTAGGTTGTTCAGAACTTGCTTTATGTATCTGGGTGCTCCTGTATTGGCTGTGTATATATTTAGGATCGTTAGCTCTTCTTGTTGCATTGATCCTTTTACCCTTATGTAATGCCCTTGTCTCTTTTGATCTTTGTTGGTTTAAAGTCTATTTTATCAGAGACTAGGATTGTAACTCCTGCTTTTTTTTTTGGTCTCCTTTTACTTGGTAAATCTTCCTTCATCCCTTTATTTTGAGTCTGTGTGTGTATCCCTGCATGTGAGATGGGTTTCCTGGATACAGCACATCATGGGTTTTGACATTTTATCCAATTTGCCAGTCTGTGTCTTTTGATTGGGGCATTTAGCCTATTTACATTTAAGGTTAATATTGTTATGTGTGAATTTGATCTTGCCATTTTGATGCTAGCTGGTTGCTTTGCCCATTAATTGACGTAGTTTCTTCATTGTTTCGATGCTCTTTACCATTTGTTATGTTTTTGGAGAGGCTGGTACTGGTTGTTCCTTTCTATGTTTAGTGCTCCTTTCAGGACCTCTTGTAAGGCAGGCCTTGGGATGATGAAATCTCTGAGTACTTGCTTGTTCGTAAA